GGAACCCGAAAAACATGCAAAACCCCGGGGAAAACCCGAAAACGGCCATCAACACGCAGGTCCACACGCTTCGCCCCTCCCCTGGCACCCCTCCCTTTAGGGCTTCGCCCACACCAGAACGTCATCACTCGTACCTCGCTCTTTCAGTTACCTGTTTGCCGCGGCAAACAGAGTCTTCGTAAGGAAGCAGCGGCCGAGCAATAGTGTTCGTCGCCCTGGCTGCCCGGTGCGCCAAACAGGAGGAGTGTGATTCCAGTCGTTTCTCTGGGGTCTAACGTGCTCCAGCTCTGTCCCTGTCAGTGCTTTTGTCGCCCCCTCACCCCGCACTCTCCGCGGGCGTTTGGCTCCCAGGGCCCTTGGCCGATGGAGCTGCGTGCAGGATCCGCGATCCCAAGGAAACACCATTCTGAGCGACAGGGCTGGACCTAAACGGTGTTTTGGCGATTTCGTGGGCCGTTTTTGTTTCGACTTCGTTTTGCGGTGGAGGCGGATTGAAGACAAAACGAGGGAAAACGATGACAAAACGAGAACGAAAAGCACCGTTTAGATTCAGCCCTGCTGAACGATTCTCGTCCATGTCGCACTTCCCCCCCCTGCTCCAGGCTCCTCCTCCTCCTCCTCCCTCCTCCCTCCTCCCTCCTCCCCCTCCTCCTCCCTCCTCCCTCCTCCCTCCTCCTCCTCCTCCTCCTCCTCCTCCTCCTCCTCCTCCTCCTCCTCCTCCTCCTGCCTCCCCCCCGCCCTCCGTCCCCCCTTCGGACCTGCCCCTTCTTCGCAGGAGGGCCGCCGTCCCAGTCCTCTGGCCCCCCTCCCGCCCCCCCCCCCAACCTGCTTTCCCGCCCCTCCTCCGCGCGCCGGCCCCTGTCTCCCTCCCCCCCTCCTCCTCCTTCGCGCGCTGCCCCCCACCCCTCCTCCTCCTTCGCGCGCTGCCCCCCACCCCCCCTCCCGACTTCCTCTCCCGCCTGCTTCCTCCTTCCCCCCTCCTTCCTCCTCCTCCTTCCTCCTTCCTCCTCCTTCCTCCTCCTTCCTCCTCCTCCTCCTCCTCCTCCTCCTCCTCCGCTCCCCGGTCTCAGCTCGCCGCCCTTGCCTGCGGGAGGATCAGGAAGAGCAGGTGTGGTGATGGTGATGACGGTGGTGATGCCCGGCCGCCTCTACTTCCCGCTCGCGTGTGCGTGTGGTGTTTGGGTGCGGATCGAGGATCGCGGTTCCACGATCGACCAAGAGGCGAACGTGGGTTCGGGGATCGAAGCTCTGGCGAGGATTGAGGATCGAGGTTTTGGCGAGGGTCGAGGTTCGACGTTTGACGATCGAGGTTTTGGTGAGGATCGTGGAATGCGAGGATGCTTATCTGAGGTCAATCAATGCTTTTGGCCTCGTCCAGCCCTCCTGGAGGCCCTTTTGCGCTGCTTCGGGGGCTTGTTGGGCCGTCTTGGGGCCATCTGGGACCATCTCGGAGCCACATTGGGCCGTCTTGAGGCCATTTTGAGCCAATCTTGGGCCATCTCTGCCATCTGGGACTATCTTGGACGCCATTTCTATCACCTTGGATCCATCCTGGAGGCCGTCTTGGGCGTCTTGGAAACAGATCTTCCAGAGTTTGGGCCGAAGGCGACTGGGAAACCTTTGGATGGGGCCAATGGAGCTATGCACCTCGGCGCGCTGGGCACCCCTGAAGCAGGCCAACGGATGGGGCGGCCGATCGAAGACGCCTTCTGCGAATTACCGCCGCCCCCCGCCTCTTGGAGTCGCCCGTGTGGCCCAGCGGTGCGGCAGGAGCTTTGCCAGGCCATCGGACCACGTGCTCCCCCAGCCGTTGTGGAAACCCTTAGGGGAGCACTTGGGGAAGGATGGCGGGGATGACCAGGAGGAGGAGGAGGAGGAGGAGGAGGAGGAGGAGGAGGAGGAGGAGGAGGAGGACCAGTGGACACCCAAGAGTCATCCACGATTTTGGAATTCGCCCTCCCTCCATGCTCCCTCTTCATGGGCCCCTACAACGGTTCATTTCCATTGAGGGAACTGCCTTGTTGGGAAGCAACAGTTTGGAGATCCTGAAGCGTGCCAAAACATTGTTCTCGGGGTTTCAACGCCGCGCATCAACCTGACTTCTGCGTCGTGACGACCCAGAATCGTGCCAGCACAGCCAATCAACATAACACTTGCGCCCGCATAATCCGGAATCCGTCCAAAATGCCATTTCTTGTACGTTAATCATGGTAATCCGTGAAACCCTTTGCACATGTTTTCAAACCAACGTGCGCGGCGCTAAGGCGAGAGCCACATTTTGTAAAGGAACCGCCCTCAACCCGTGAAACCCTTGCAAATGTTTAAAACGATTGTGCGCGGCGCTGAGGCGAGAGCCACATTTCGAGAACGACCCCAATCCGTGAAGCTCTTGCCAACGTTTAAAACGATTGTGCGCTGCGCTAAGGCGAGAGCCACATTTTGAAAGCGACCCGCCCTCCATATGTAAAATTGCTGTCGCTCCTTAAGCTTAAGAGTCACAAATGGTAAGGAAGTCTCAGACGAAACGCCTGGCCCGCCCTAATCACTGGCCTCGGGGTGTGACAGGGAGGAGTTATCTACAAGGAGAAGGAATGGAGTAGGAGGAGGAGGAGGAGGAGGAGGAGGAGGAGGAGGAGGAGGAGGATCATGATGAGGGTGAGTAGGAGGAGGAGGAGGAGGAGGAGGAGGAGGAGGAAGAGGAGGAGGGGGCATCTTGGTAGCCTTTGGGGGCACTTTTGGGGCCTCCTGGGAGCTTCCTGGGAGCCTCTTGGAGGCATCTTGGGTGCCTCCTTGGGCCTCTTGGGGGCCTTTGGGTGCTTCTCGGGGCTGTCTAAGGGCATTCTTGGCCCGGCTGACGCCGTCGGAAGCCGTTTTTGTGGCCCTCTTGGGGTGCTCCAGGGCCGTCTTGGAGGCCATCTTGGGGGCCATTGGGGCCCTCTGGGGGCTATCTGGGGGGCCTGTTGGGCCGTTCTTGGGTCATCTTGGTGGCCGCGAGGGCTATCTGGAGGAGATCTCGGGGGCCTCTTAGGCCGTCTTGGGCCGTCCGAAGGCCGAAAAGGCGCTGATGCCAAAATCCTTAAACTGGGCCGTCATGGGGCCATCATGGGGCGTCATGGGGCCCTCTTGGGGGTCTCTTGGGCCGTCTTGAGCCGTCGGAATGCCGAGAAGAAGCAAATCCCCAAATCCTTCAAAAACCTATGGAAAATTATTAATTTTGGCCTCTTCGGGCCTGCCTGGAGGACCTCTGAGAGGCCTCTTGGGCCGTCTTGGACGCCTCATGGGGGCCTCTTGGGCCGTCTTGGGCCATCTTGGAGGCTTCTTGCCAGTTCGACTTCAACCTCTCTGGGGCCTCGTGGGCCCATGTTGGTCCCGGGGGGGCCGAGCCGCTTGCCCGCCGCGCTGTCCGACGAATCTCGCTGGACTCATTTTGTTTCAGGGATGTCGCTCACAATGCGCGATCTCCATCGAGGGGCTCTCCCTCCAGAGTGGCTCACCTTAACGCTCTGCAGCCGCTCTTGGCAGGCTCCGCGTGCCCGCCTGCCGGTGTGCGGTTCGCTCGGTGGCAAGACGCCGCCTGCTTTGCGTTAGCCCTTCACTGCTGTGGAGTCATAGCGCGGCGCAAATGGTAGGCCAGCTGTTCGCTCATGGCCTCACGGGGGAGCAGCAACAACTCTTGGATGGTCTTGAACGCTCCGACGATCGGAAGGCGAATTTGCTTGTATCGTGCAAATAGTCAAAGGGGTTTCAATGATTTTTGCCTCTGGGCCCGCCCCTTGGGCCTCCAAGGCGGCCCAAGTGCCCCCAAGGGAGCGCGGGACGGTTCAGTGGCGCAGTTGTGAGACGCCTGGGAAGTGTTGGGGTCACAGCCACGGTCCCCAGGCTTCCTGGACAATTCACGCGGGTTCCCCCTCAGGCCCTCCAAGAGAATATTCAAGTTTTCCCATGTTCTTGGGGCTCCTTTCTATGATTCTGACAGCATGCTCAGCGAGCGTCTCGAGGCATTGTGGTGGAGATGTGTTTCACAAACTTGTAATCGTTGTCTTTCAATTCTTTTACTTCTGGTGTCGATGATGCTGTGGACCCACACTGGACCCACACTGTGGACCCACACTGTGGACCCATGTGAGGCCTCCTGAAAGCGAGTGGGGAGGCCTCCCGGAAGCCTCTTGGAGGCGTTTTGAGTTTTTTGTTGGGGTGCCTTTACGGGGCTTCGGGGGCTTACTGGAGCTGCTAAGGGGGCTTCCCCAAGGCTTGCTGGCTGTCGCGGAGGTCGTTTTGAGGCGGAGGGATCGAAATGTCGGTTCGTGCTTCCTCTCTGGACCCTCCCCGTCCTGGGGCCCTCTTGGGAGGGTCTTGGGCCGTTCTGGGGAACTCAGAGGCCGTCTGGGGGTCTCTTTTGCGTCCCGAAGCGATTTTTCGGCGACTCGGGGCCCTCGTGGGCCGTGTTGGGGGTCTCATGGGGCCTTGTTGGCCAGACTTCGGGCCCGATCGGCTCCGAGAAAGTCATGCGGCAATGCGCGACAGCATGCGACAAGCTTCGAGAGGCACGCGACGTGCCCCGCGGCACATCAGGGCATTGGGGCCCGAGCCCGTCAGGACGGAGAACGGGCAATTCCAATGGACCCGAGGCCGCCACATCTTGATCTCGTGCCTGAGGGCACGGTGGCGGATATGGGATAGTCAAGCAGTGGCGAAGCGTCCTGGCTTGCCTAAGAACCTTTGATGATTCCCTTGATATGTTCTTAGAGCATTTCTGGCGGAGCCTGTCTTGTTATATCACATCGGGAATATGATCTAAGAACATTGATTTTGTTATTAGAATATTTTGGGGTTCTAAGAACATTTCGTGGTAGGACTAGGAGTGCCGGGACGGTCGGTCCCTGCTCAAGACAGGGATGATCCCAGCTCGAGTTCAACTCTGAACTCGTGCGTTCCTCGAGTCGTGCTCTTCGTCCGGTCCACCTGCCTCCGGTTCCTTCCCGACCACGCCCCAGACTGAGGCGTATCCCGAACCTTCCAGACCCACGACCGGAGGTGATCGTCCAGAGGGTCGCTGGGATCTATGCGCGGGAGGCGCCCCCCCCCCCCCCTGGGAGATTGGATGACTGGAGCGGCGGGCGCGGCGCACGTGCGCGTGGCGCATGGGGAGAGCAGAAGACACCGATGACCGCTACTCCCCAGAGCTCTCCTGGGGCGCGTTGTGGCCAGGATCTCGAGGCGAACGCAGCGGTGGCGACGAGGGCCTCCCAGAAGTCGGGGGAAGGGGGGTATAGCGGTATTATTGGGTTCCTTGGCGTCCTCCGCGTGCAGGTCAGGTGGATCCTGTATCGAGGTATGCCCTCGCTTCACCGCGAGAGGGGCCAGGAGGGCCTCCGAAAGCCACCCCCCCGTGCCCTCGCAGAAGCCCCTCCGGGCTTCGTGCGGGGCCGCCCTTCCCTCGCGCCAGAATGTTGTCAGAGCCCCGCGTCCTTCGGGCCGAGTGCCAGTCAGGGGCAACTGCAGATGCGCGCCTCCGGGGCCCCAGAGCCCGATTTGCCCCGGACCGCAGCTTTCCGGGAGACCGTCAGCCCGCATAGCAACCTTTCCAAGGGTACCCTTGCATCCTTACCTCCTCGGTCCATCCTTGGCCACGTCCGATGGCCGCGCCCCGCTCGAAAAGCTTCGAATTGCGCCTCCAAGGCCCTTGCATCCTTGCCGCGCATCCTTGCTATACGGGTTGACTCTAATTCGGGCGTACAAATCTTGCGCGCGCCGCCAAGCGGCGGGGAGAAGGCGGAGAGAACACGGGCTGGGCGACGGACGGGGGCGGCAGCGGGCAAGGGGGGCGAGTGACGCGGCGGCGAGGCAGAGTGAGGAGCGGCCGTGGGCCGAGAGCGCCCGTCCTCTCGGTCCAACGATGTGCTCGCCTGCGCGAGGAGGCGTTGGCGATGCCTGCTCTGGTCTCTCTTCCGATCCGTTCTCTTCTCCTTGGCCGATTCTGCGCATTCGGCTCGCACGTCCTTCGGCGAGGCTCCAGATCCACGGGACTTCCGCGCCGCTCTGGGGATCGGGTACTGTGGGGCTTCATGCTTCCTTTTCGATGCTGTCTTGTATGTTGCGTCCAAGCATGACCGAGTAGACGGTCACTGCGTAGTGCACCGCTCGTGCTGATGTAAGTGAGTGTGTGCGTGTGCACATATGCATGCACGTGCAAGGACACATGTCCATATTGAAGATCGAGGGCTGTACGGATTGATGACAGGACGGATGGTCCGAGCCATCTGGTCGGACGGACTGATTTCGGACAGACAGACAGACGGGCGGACAGATGAATGGGGATGTGGGGATGGATGGAGAGAGAGAGAGAGAGAGACGGTGTGGAGGGAGAGAGGGAGGGGTGGGTCGGAATGGACACCTTCCTCCTCATCTTCCCCCTCTTCCAGCACGGGGCGCCCACAGAAGGCAATCCATGGGGCAGGGCCGATGGATACGCGTGGCCAGACGGAAGGACTGCCAGACGCACTGAAGAGTGGAACGGGCAGCTCGATTGATACGTGCAAGGGCGCACGTTCGTATAGCTTCGTGCCCGTGTGCAAGGCCCTTACCTTCTGCGCCTGCCCCGTGCACGTGCGCTGCGTGCCGCGGCGTCCCAGTCTTATTTGCGCTGACGTCAGGGCGGCGTCGAGAGGTGAGGGAAGCGGGACCTCCCTCCGCGCGCCAGATCTCTGAGAACATCTTGGCTAGCGTGCCGAATCAGGGCCAGTTCAGGCTCCGCGTGAGGAGTGAGGAGTGTGGAGTGCGGAGTGAGGAGGTTTTCGCTGCTAGAACCAACCTGGCACATCTTGCCTCAGCCAGGGCGGGCACACTGATGAGGTGCCTCAACGCCCAGCACTATCTCCCAGAAGGCGTCCCGCTCACATGCTGAGTAAGGAGGGGGAGGGGGGGGTGGGCAGGAGAAGGATGAGGAGGAGGCGTAGGAGGAGGGGAAGAGGGATGGGGTTGGAGGAGGGACAGGGTAGGACCCAGGAGGAGCTGGGGAGGGGGAGGAGGCCCTGCAGTGCTGGCCACGCTTCAGGATCGGGGCCCCGCTCCCCGCAGCTCGGAGTGGCGCTCCCTCGCCGCAGGTGCGGGCCCGCCTCTGGACCCGACTCCCTCCCTGGTCGCTGCCGCCCCCCGCCCTCCTCCCCCCCTTCGCCCCCCCCCCCCCCCCTGCTCCTGCCCACCGGCCCGGCGTGCTCCTGATCTCCCTGCTCCTGCTCCCGCTGCTTCTCCTACTGCTACTCCTGCTGCTCTGCCGACACACAGGAGGCCCCTCCCCCTTTGCCCCCCCTTGCACAGCGGAGGATTGGTCAGTGGGCATCTTGGGATGCACGTCTTGCTCGCCGGATGTAAGAGGTCTCAACGCAATGAGAGGGGATGGGAGGGAGGGGGCGTGGTGCTATATATGGCCCGAACGCGCTGACGGCAGGTTCTTGCCCTGTCGACCAGCGGCGACCCCAGCGCGGGCGTTCAAGGTTGACCGACGCCAGTGGCCCAGAACCAAGCGGACATCGACGTTACGCGCTACGTGAAGTCCGCGATTTCTCAATGCTGAATGATCCACGTGGTGCTGGAGCCCAGCGCAGACATCGCCCGCGCATCTGCCGTTGTTTGCCTACCTCCTCTTCCCTCTCCTTCCCTGTCCCTTCCTCGCTCTCCCCAGCACAGGCTGGCTGCAGCGGCCGCTCCTCCTGAAACTCTTTCCGCGGTGAGCGCCCTCCTCCCCCGCCAGCTTTCTGCGGCCGCCCCCTTCCTCTTTCCCTCTCTTGCTGCCGGTGAATTCGTACGCCGCGCGTCCCTGGCTGCTAGAGCGCGCGTGCGGATCGCATCTGCCGCGCTGCGACGTAGAAGAGTCCCTTCTCTCTTCTCCTTTCCTCCGGAAGAAGAACAAGAAGCGGCATAAACAGGATCTTTCGGAGGTGCGCGCGGACCTCTTGGATCGGCGCTGGCCGCCCTCCCTGGCCCACAGGCTTTCATCTTCGACCAGCTCGGTCAGACAGATGGTGTGTCCAGTTTAGTTGACGAGCTTCAGGATACCATCAGGCTTGCCCAGTGGAAGACCGCAGCGAGCCACCACTGCGGCGAGGGCCTGCAAGTTGGAGTGGACAATTTCTCTTACAGCTATTATATTAAAGCTCCTGGAGTCAGCTCGGCACGGTCACTAGCTGTCAGAGCTTATGCTATGCATCATCAGGTGGCGCCTGGACCAGGAAGAGGATCCAGGATGAGATCGGTGGTCAAGAATCCATCGAGCGTCCCCGCTGCAATGATGGACCAGAGACTGATCTGCATCGATCATGGCTGTGCGCATGTAATTATGAAGCTAGCGCCTACACCCAGTCCGATCAGTTTAGAGCGGAGGCCATGGCACAGTCCGAGGCCTTCCCGTGTTTTTTTCTGCTCCGAGGCATCGTCCCAGCCAGTCGGTCCAGAGTCCCCTCCCCTCCCCTCGAGCCCTCCTGGACCCTCTCTGGCGCCTTTGTGTTAGGCACAATGATTCTCGGCAGTGGCTCCCTCGAGGCTCCCAATTTCCTTTTTGGGGATGCTAGCTGGGGTAAGGAGTCTAGGGGCGCTAGGCTTAGGCGCGTTGGGCTCGGAGTCCTGTCTGTCGTTGCTTTCTCTCCGTCTCTGGTCGGGGCCTCCATACATGGTCCCTTCACGGGTTCCAAACAATCGGTCACCAGAGGAAAGCTAATGGCTTTTTTTAGGTGTTTCGTTCTCGCGAGGTTTCTCTAATTTTGTCACTGACAACGAGTCGGTCAGTGCAGGGTGGTACGACGAAAAAGGAACCTTTCCCCGAGCGGCGATAATCTCGACTTGTGACAGGAGCTGGCAGAGCTCCGCGCATCCAGAGATTTCGAGGATAGGGTTGTGCTGCAGGTGCCGTCTCGCCAGCCCAGGTCGTGTCCAGCCTTCATCCTCTTTGGGTGGTCCAGGGGAACGCGGCGGCCGACGAGGCAGCTGGCATCGCAGCTGAGAGAACAGGTAACCAGGTTTCTTAGCTCGAACACAAATCCTGTCTTGTTCGTAAGAGGTTTCTTCGTGCGCATCTCGATTCGATGGTTGTTGGTCGCAGGTCTCCGCCGCCCAAACAGGTCCGCCTGCTCCCCCCATCCCCAGCAGTTCTTTCTGTTTTGCGTCCCAACACCAGTTGTCGGACGATGGTAGGATATGTAACAGGTGCAAAGGCGGCTAACTATGCCGCCGCCGCGTTTCGAAATCCCCAGGGCGTAGCTCTGATCCCCCAGCGCAATCCGGATGTTTCGAGGTTGCCCAGGGACCATACTATACACATCGGGGGTGGTCTCACATATCCTAGTCACACCATGGTATGCCATGATGCGCTGCGGCTCTGGTTTTGCTCGGAGTTTTTTTTCCCGGAAAGGGCAAAGGCCCAGGGTTCTCTTTTAGTTGGTTTCCCCCCGGTTTTGACGGCTGTAGGGCCGGCGAAAGTTTTTTGCGATAAATAACGAGGTCGCGTAGGGCCGGCGAATTAAAAATTGAGGATGTCTCGAGCGAAACGCTTGTTTTTCAGAATTTGTTGAGGATGTCTCGAGCGAGACGCTGGTTTTGCAGAGTTGGGGATGTCTCGAGCGAAACGCTTGGTTTCAGAATTTGTTGAGGATGTCTCGAGCGACACGCTGGTTTTGCAGAGCCGACCGCGACACGGAAAAGCGCCCCTCGCGCAGGAATTCCAAGGATGTCTCGCGCGTGCCGCGTCCCGCGCGCGGGTATTTGGATTTCTTGGGATTTTGACAGGATGTCTCGAGCGAAACGCTTGTTTTTCATAATTTGTTGAGGATGTCTCGAGCGAAACGCTGGTTTTGCAAAATTGGAGGATGTCTCGAGCGGTGGCCTCGTGGGGGGCCAGAATTCAAAGGATGTCTCAGGCGAAATGCTTGTTTTCACGTCCCGCTCGCAGGAATTCCGAGGATGTCTCGCGCGTGCAGCGTCCCGCGCGTAGGAATTCAGATGATTTTGACAGGATGTCTCGAGCGAAACGCTTGTCCCCAGCACGTTCCGTAGCGCGTCCCCTTGGCAGGTCCCGCGATGCGTCCCCATGGCACGTCCCTTGGCACGTCGCTTGGCGCGTCCCTTGAGACGTTCTGCGTCGCGTCCTCCTGGCATGTTCCCCTGTCCATTAGCTCTGGGGCAGCTACTATGTGTTCAGGCAGCTCGAGCTTAAGATCCAGATCAGTTCGGTCAGGACTCGGATGCAAAGGAGGACTCGATCCACGAGGCTATAGAGCACAATCGCGCCATGGCACATCGCAATTCAGCACGGCGCAGCACAGCACTGATTTCGGCACGGTACATCAAGGTCGATGCACTCAGCATTGCAACTTGGCACGTTCCTTGGCACGTTCCGTGGGGCGTCCTTTGGCGAGTCCCCCTGGCACGTCGCGTCGCGCGTCCCCTGGCACATCCCGTGGCACATCCATTGGCACGTTCCGTAGCGCGTCCCCTTGGCACGTCCCGCGGTGCGACCCCATGGCACGTCCCCTGGCACGTCGCCTGGCGCATCCCTTGGGACGTTTCGCGGCGCGTCCTCCTGGCATGTTCCCCTGTCCATTAGCTCTGGGGCAGCTACTATGTGTTCAGGCAGCTCGAGCTTAAGATCCAGATCAGTTCGGTCAGGACTCGGATGCAAAGGAGGACTCGATCCACGAGGCTATAGAGCACAGTCGCGCCATGGCACATCGCAATTCAGCACGGCGCAGCACAGCACAGCCCTCGGCAGGGTACATCAAGATCGATACCTTCAGTATTGCATTTGCCCGTCACCCAATCAGGTGTCTTTGAAAACGCTGCCATGTGTTACAGTTCTACATTCCTTTCCGGGCTCGTGGGTCGATCATGTTGTGGGTCAGCTCAGCTCAGATCTTTGGGCCACGAGTGTCAGGCTTCACCCACACCCACCAGAGCCGAACACATCAAGCGTATCCTCGAGGGTGAGTGGCCCAAGAGTTAGCCCCGCCCAAGCCGAGGGGTCTCGGTGGGCTGGCAGGGCGGCGTTCTCATCGCGTCGCGGTAGCTCCTGTCCAGTCCAGTCCTCCTCCTCCTGTTCCTCCTCCTCCTCCTCCTCCTATTCCTCCTCCCGTTCCTCCTCCTCCTCCTCCTCCTCCTCCTCATGCTGCCCCCCCCCCTTGCCACTCCCCTCCCCATCGTTGCCCCCGAGGAGCTCTGGGCGGGCCTCCGACAGCTTAGTGATGCCCTTCCCTGGCCAGGCCAGGGCGGCGCGGGCGCCGATCCCGGGCCAGGCCAGGGTCGCTCGAGCTGTAGGAGGCGGGGGGTCAAAGCGAACGGGGTCCTGAGTATTCATTTGTAGGTGGACATGCCCGACCTGAGGATAGGAAGGGATTCGAGGGCAGATTTTGTGAGCCACCGAAGTTCTGGACTCAGGATGATGTTCGGGTCTTCGGGCCGTGCCTCGGAGTGACGTCGTGTGAACTGTTTGAAATGCCGAGTAAGAAAACGCTCACTAGCAAATCATGGGAGCCTGGTATACCCTCTCAATACCGTCTTTAGCGCCGAGTAGCGTCGATTAGCGTCTGGGAGTCGGTGAGATAGCGCCGATTTGTCGTCGGGTAACGTCGATTAGCCTCGATTGAGCGTCGACTAGCGTCGATTTAGCGTCGACTGGCGTCGATTCGCAAGAGTCACCAAGATGTTATGAGAGGTTCCCATGGGTCGCCACAGAGGGGGGTCAGCGAGAGCGCCAGACCCTGCGGGATCCTGCAACGCCAGGGGTGCACTCGTTGCCTGCACGTTAGGAGTGGCCCCTTCGCCGAAGGGACCTGGTGGTGCGCGGCTTTCGCAGCGCGCTGGGGTGCCCAGCCCAAGCACGCAGGCCGCTGCTGTTGCAGCGCGGCAGGCCGCGCACCACGGGGCACTCCTTGCCCAGGGTCACTTCCTTACGCGCAGCCGACTTGGCCCGGGCTGGCGCGCAGGATCCTGCAGGGTCTTGGCGGATGTTGCAGGGGCCTGCAGGATCCTGCAGGATCTTGCGGGAGCGTGCAAGGCCTGACTGACTTGGGCTTGCATTGACCCGGGTTGGTTCTTCCCCGAGTCGGTGTGTGCCCATAGCACAGTCGACGCGCTGGAATGAGGAAGAGTCTGGGCTCGCAAGGGGCTCGCTGATCTGTAGGTCCTGCCATACTTGCTCCTCTAGCGCTAAGTCGGGCATGTCCCTCTACAGGAGGAATCCATTAACTTTGAAAAATAATCGGGGGACGATTATTCTATGATGTTTGCGATTGTTTTGAGTATTTTTGATCATTCGTCCCAAATCCGCCTGTAGGAGTACATGCCTGACCTAGCTCCTAGCGCTCCTCGTGCACCCAGTCGCTCTTGAGGCCAAGAAAAGGGTTCCTCGCTCCTTGTTTAGCGTTCCTTGTGGTAACAGCTTGCTTGACAGGAGTTCTCTGTGCAGTCGGACCGAGGTATGAGATCGAGGTTGCTTTTGGGAGGGTACCATAATTAATGCTCCTCGTGTTTGTTGGATGGTCTTGTGCATCCTGTGGAGGATACCTGTGGATGTTCTGTGTGTTTTGGCCAGCGGAGGGTCTCATGTTCTTGAATAGTGTTCTTCTGTCAGAAGTCCGGCCGTATCCAGCTGCCTGCGGCAAACCTCGCCACTGTGCCTCCGCAACAGCGCAGCAGGAAGAAGGCCGAGTGTAGGGACGGCGCAATTCCGACGAGTGGTCTCACAAGGACGGGTCGTGAGCTCGACCTCGCCCTCCTCCTCGCGGTAGGAATGAGGTCGAGGTCACACTCTGCGGCAGTTCAGCGAGTGGTCTGATTGGAGAGCGTCGTGATCCCGACATCGTCTCCGTTCGACTGCATTGGATCCCTCCCCTCTCCCCCTCCCCCCGCCAGGGCGCTGCTGCAGTTCGTGCGGCGGTGGGCCAGGCTGCGGGGCGTGTACGGCCAGGGCAGCTTCATGGGCTTCCTCGGGGGGACCCGCCGCGGGACGGGGTAGCGCGCCTCGTCGGTCGGACAGACGGCGGGGAGGAGAATAGGGACGACGACGACAAGGGCGACGATGGTGACGATGAGTGATGATGATGATGATGCTGATGATGATGATGATGATGATGATGATGATGATGATGATGATGATGATGGTGGTGGTGGTGGTGGTGGTGGTGGTTGTGGTGGTGGTGATGACGACGACAACGACGGCGATGGTGGTGTTGACGATGATGATGATCAGTCTCATGTTGATGCTGCTGCTGATGATGATGATGGTGGTGGTGATGATGATGACGATGATGATGGCGTTGATGACGGTGATGAGGATGATGGCGACGACGATGCTGCTGCTGCTGATGATGAATCTGATGTCGAGGATGCTGATGATGATGCTGATTACGGCGATTATGACGATGCGTGATGATGATGGTGATACTGATGCTCATGATGGTGATGATGGTGGTGGTGGTGGTGATGATGGTGATGGTGATGCTGATGGTGATGTATCATTGTCGGTGATCGATGATGGGTGATGGCGGTGGTGCTGCTGCTGACGATGACGATGCTGATGCTAATGAACATGATGCTGCTGATGATGATGCTGATGCTGCTGATGATGATGATGATGATGATGTGGCTGCTGCTGATGACGATGGTGGTGATACTGATGATGGTGCTGATGCTGATGATGCTGATGATGCTGATGCAGATGCTGATGATGATGATGATGATGACGATGCTGATGCTGACGACGATGATGCTGATGACAATGATGATGCTGATACTTATGATGATGCTGATGACGATGCTGATGAAGACCATGCTGCTGCTGATGATGCGGATGATGGTGATCATGATGGTGATGCTGATGATGCTGTTGCTGATGATGATGCTGCTGCTGATGCTGCTGATGCTGCTGCTTCTGGTAATGATGATGACGATGGTCAAGTTGCTCCTGCTGTTGCTGCTGATGGTGCTGATGATGCTGTTGACGATGCTGATGATGATGATGGTGATGCGGGTGATGCTGTTGATGGTGATGATGCAGACGATAAGGCTGCTGCTGATAATAATGCTGTTACGATGATTATGGTGATGTTAACACTGAGCAATGCTGACGATGTTGACGATGCTGATGTTGTCGACGCTAATGCTGTTGCTGGGGATGATACTGCTGATGCGGATTCTGACGACAAGTATGATGCTGATGCTGATGATGACGCGGATGACGATGATGATGCTGTTTATGCTGATGCTGATGCTGGTGTTATTGTTGATGATAATGATGATGATGACGATGCTGATGCTGACGATGACGATGCTAATGACGATGATGATACTGATGATGATGATGATGATGATGATGATGATGATGATGATGATGATGATGAGGATGAGGATGAGGATGAGGATGAGGATGAGGATGCTGATGTTTATGTTGTTGCGGCTGCTGAGGTTGACGATGCTGATGCTGATGATGATGCTGCTGATGACGATGCGGATGATATGTTAATAATGGATTATGCTGATGATGACGGGAATGGTGCTTATCATGATGGGGGTTGACGATGAGAGCAGGATGATGATGAGGATGATGACCAGGATGAGCAGGACAGGGGGATGAGCTTGGGGAGTATAGGGACGAGGTTCAGTCGAATGTTGAGGAGGAGGAGGAGGAGGAAGAGGAGGAGGAGGATGAGGAGGCTGGGAAGGAGGGGAGAGGAGAGGAGAGGCGTGGGGGGCGGCCACGAGCGGGGGTGATGGCTAGTCGGTGGCGAACTACGAACCCCACCCTCGCCGATCAACGATTCGGGCAACTCGGGCAGCTCGATGGGCGGCGTGGGTACTCCGAGTTTCTTAATAAGCGTCGTGGGGACGTCATCCCCGCCGACTGTCCTACATCGACCCCCGTCGCGGGCAGCCACCGCGCGCCGAAGGCGCTCCGACCCCCGTCGCAGCGCGACGACGGGGCGAGATTGACCCCCGTCGGGGGGGATGCGCCCACGCTTATGAAAGAAACCCAGAGTAGGTTTCGGAGTTCGTCGAAGACGTGGCGCCATCCGAGCCCTACTCCCGCCCCCCATCGATGTGGGAAAGTCGATGGCTGGTGGGTGGAGGGTTCGGCTGTCGCCACCCAGCCAGGGGGAGTGGATATCATTGCTGAGGACGTGGAATCATTCCATCCTCGTTTTGGCACGTCCTGTGGCCCCCCCTCCACATTTCCATCTCGTCTCGTGGACATGGAATCAGTCATGGCCCACCCGCCATGAGCGATTGCGTCTCGTGGACATGGAACCATTCATGGCCCCCTGCTCCCATTGCAGCACGCCCTCTTGCCCCCCGCCCCCTTTTGGCCCGCGCGCACGATGCCTCCCGCCATGACCTCGGGAGCCCCCCTCCCGGGGAGGCCCGCTCCTCGTGGACTCCCCCGACGCCCCTCTGGCGGCCGCTCGTGGGGCTTTCTGCGGAGGCTCGCTGGTGGAGGTTCGGGTCGGACGACATGGCGGGGGGATCGGTTCACGAGGAGCCCTTCTCCACTTCGGTCTTCAAAGGTTTCATTAGAATGCCTATACGACCACCCTTCGGGTGCTAAGGAGATTGTGGGGGGGGAGGGGGGGGGAACCAACATCTGACTCAATCGATCTCACTGTTGACCTCACTCAACGGGACACCACAGGACACCACGGGACACCACGGCACACTTGTCGATCTCACTTGTCGATCTCACGTGTCGATCTCACTCAACGGGACACCACGGGCCACCATGGGACACCACGGGACACCGCGGGACACCTCTCGATCTCACCATCGGTCTCACTATCGATCTCACTATCGATCTCACTCAACGGGACACCATCGGACATCACGGGACACCACGGGGCACTTCCGGAGACCACATCGATCTCACAATCGATTTTACCATCGATCTCACTATCGATCTCACTATCGATCTCACGATCGATCTCACTATCGATCTCACTCAACGGGACACCACGGGAAACCTGTCGATCTCACTATCGATCTCAGTATCGATCCCGCTGTCGATCTCACTTTTTGGAACACCACGGGACACCTCGGGGCACCACATCGATCTCAGTATCGATCTCATTATCGATTTCACTATCGATCTCACTCAACGGGACACCATGGGACACCTGTCGATCTCACTATCGATCTCACTATTGATCTCACATTTTGGGATACCACGGGGCACCACGGGACACCACGGGGCACCATATCGATCTCAGTATCGATCTCACTAACGATCTCACTATCGATCTCACCATCGATCTCACTATCGATCTCACTCAACGGGACACCACGGGACACCAGGGGACACCACGGGACACAGCGGGGCACCGCGAGCCACCGCCGGACGGACGGACGGACGGGCGGGCGGGGGAGAATCATAATCATTTGTTTTGACTTCGCCCTAGCAGCGGCGGACGCCACGGGACACCACGGGACACCGTGGGGCACCGCGAGCCACCGCCGGACGGACGGACGGACGGGGGAAAATCATTTGTTTTGACTTCGCCCTAGCAGCGGTGGACACCACGGGACACCGCGGGACACCGCTAGGGCCACCGCTAGGGCCACCGCTAGGGCCACCGCCGGACGGACGGACGGACGAGGGAGAATCATTTGTTTTGATTTCGCCCCAGCAGCGGAGGACACCACAGGACACCACGTGACACCGCTAGGGCCACCGCTAGGGCCACCGCTAGGGCCACCGCCGGACGGACGGACCAACGGGGGAGAATCATCTGTCTTGACTTCGCCCTAGCAACGGCGGGTTCATTCCTCTCGCGCGCCCACGCAGCTTCGCCTTGCCCGCACGCGCGACCCGAGCGAAACGAAACGATTTCCCGGTTTGGGGTCTCGTTCCACTGTGATCTCACCCCCCAACCGCCGATTTGCTACTATCACTCAGACCTGCACTAAGAGCTGTTTCACCCTGGCTTGTGCCAAACGCTTCGTCACAAGCCCCCATGCCCTCCTATTTAGTGACGCAACACAATTGCAACAATGGTTGGGAAAGGGGGCGGGGGCTCCGAAATCTGCCGCGTGCGGCTGGATTTCGGGCCCCGCCGCCTCCGCGGCGCTATCCTGGATACAGTGGCGCCGTTGGCGCCGGGAAGCGCCGGGGAACAGCACTTGCGTGAGCCGACTCGGTGCCCCGCCCTTTGGCGGGCCCTGGAGGCGGCGCACAGTTACGAGTTCCCTGGCCCGTATCCAGGTGAGCGACGCAGAAAAACGGGAGCGACCACGCCGACATTTGCGCGTAAGCTGCCTGCGTAAGATGACGCGTAAGCGCCCTCGTTTCCACTGTACTCAATGCGCTGCGCTGGCGGCCCGCGTAAGCCACCGCGTAGGGTCGGTATGTCCTCTCGCGCAAGCGTCTCTTTATTTTTCGTCGCCCAAGTGGAGAAGGCTAATTCGAGGGTCCACCCTTGTCAGGCGGGCGCATCGCCACGCGCAATGTCACAGCGCTGCTGCAGCACATCGCTATCTGCAAGGCGTGCCTCGCTGCTGCCGTGGTAGTCCTCTCTGATGTAGCAGTGGTGCGTGCCGATTTTCATTGTGCTGACGTGGTCACCGTTGCCTCAGGACGGCCTGGGCGATATGCTGCGCCCGCGCCTGCCAGACGAACTCCCACTTGGAGCTGCAGCGGCCTTAGCAGCTCTTGGAAGGCAAGGGGGGGTGTCATGATCAGGGGCAACGTTCGGAGGGGATAAGCTCAGGTGGGGGAGGCATCGACACCCAATCGCTCATTGATCGCCGACAGGGCCCCGATAGCCCCACCCCGCCCAGGAACGTGGGGATTTGCTATCGAGGGCCTATCGGCGATCTATCGGCGATGTATCGCCGATTGCAGGTCTGTGCTTCCCCCCCCCTATGCCAGTCCCCCCTATCGTTGCCCCCCAGCGCCGGCGGCCGGCGCCGAGATCCCTCGGCTCGATGAACAACGTCTCATCGCCAAGGGGGGACGCGGGTCCGGAGGGAAACGTGTACCGAGGTTTTTCGACGTTGTCGGGCGCTCGGGGCCCTCCACGGGCCCCAGGACTGTCAGGAAACGACTCGGGATTACAAGCTCGTCCCAGGGGAGCGCATCCGGGTCCAGGGCCCGTTTTCCTCAGGACCCGTTCTCCCCATGCTAAGGCCCAGGTTGATGAGGGGATCTTTGTATTTCTTGGTGCTGGCGTTAAGTCGGGCACGTCCCTCTACAGGAGGAATATTCAAAAATAGTTAAAACATGCTCTGGGAACGACGTTTCGATTATGTTTCCCAGCCCTCCCTTGGTTGGGTTTTGAATAGAGGGGTGTGGTCGCGTCCTCCTCCTCCCGCCTCTCCGCCTCCTCCTGCCCTCTCTTCGCCGACGATGGGGGCGGCGATCTGCGAAACTGTCGCCACTTTCGAGGGCTGCTGGTGGGTCCAGCGGAGTGAGGCACCGCGCAGATCTGAGCGGGACCTCGCCGTCCCTGAGGGCTGCGATCTGCGAAACCGTCGCCACTTTCGAGGGCTGCTGGTGGGTCCAGCGGAGTGAGGCACCGCGCAGATCTGAGCAAGACCTCGCCGTGCCTGGGGGCTGCGATCTGCGGAATTGTCGCCACTTTCGAGGGCTGCTGGCAGTTCCAGCGGAGTGAGGCACTGCGCAGATCTAAGCGGGACCTCGCCGTCCCTGGGGGGCTGCGATCTGCGAAACCGTCGCCACTTTCGAGGGCTGCTGGTGGGTCCAGCGGAGTGAGGCACCGCGCAGATCTGAGCGGGACCTCGCCGTCCCTGAGGGCTGCGATCTGCGAAGCATTCGCCAATTTCAAGGGCTGCTGGTGGGTCCAGCGGAGTGAGGTACCGCGCAGATCTGAGCGGGACCTCGCCGTGCCTGGGGGGCTGCGATCTGCGACACTGTCGCCACTTTCGAGGGCTGCTGGTGGGTTCAACGGAGCGAGGCACCATGCAGATCTGAGCGAGACATCGCAATCCTTGGGGGGCTGCGAGCCTCACGAATGCCGCTCGCAGAAGTATAAGCGCCCATGTCAAGTCATCACCTCCGTATAACGTCTCCCAAACTATTCATGCCCCGCATTGCGCAGGGGTTGGGTACGTCGCCATGGTAATCGTGACTATATGTTTGCACTATGGTTGATTGTCCGTCCAAAATCAGCCTGTAGGAGCACATGCCCGACCCAGTGCTGGCGCCGACTTTTCGCCCCACGGTAGGCTCACGTCGTGGCGGCGCGGTGGCGACCCCAACCGCGGGCGCTCGCGGTGGAGCGCCGCCGTTGGGCCCAGCATCGGCCAGTGTGGACTGATGTGGCGATCGAGAAGCCGCCGATCGTTCATGGTTGAACGATCCACGCGGTGCCAGAGACCGCACACGAGCAACGCAAATAACAACGGGGTCGTCTGCGCCGACTTTGGCGCGTAAGCTGCCCGCGTAAGGTCGCGCGTGAGCGCCCTCGTTCCCAATGTAGCGTGCCGCGCTGGCGGCCCGCGTAAGCTGCGGCGTAAGGTCGCTACGCCATCTCGCGTAAGACCCGTTTTTGATCCTCGCTCACACGTCGTCACGACCTGAACCTGTCGTACCACGGTGGTGGCCGACTCTATGCCCTACAGTCGAGTCAGATTGGCGACGGCATCCGAGAGGATGCAAGATCCTTCCGAGGGCCACATGGCCCCAGGCATGCAGAGGACATGGGCCGCGAAGCGCAGGGCTCAGGGGGGCCCTCGACTTGAAAGGGCCGACCTGCTGAGCAACCTAGACGGTCCCCGTCGCCTGTCGAAGGAGGGCCCCCGCGGTGTGCTCGGCGGGGACCGTCAGGCATCAGAAGAAACGCTTGTGTAGACATAAATGTTCGAAGGTCCGCGCGGGTTTCTTAGGTCGGCGCTGGATCCCACACCGGCGTCGCCTCCGACGCCGCCCTTGCGCGCTCCGCGCGTCAGGGATGGGGGGTGCAGCGCCGACCAAAGGAATCCGCGCGGACCTCCGATTGTTGATTTCTATACAGTCAAACCGCATGGTAAGGATGGGCAGCCTTCACAAGGGCATCCTTGCCTCTTCGTCCCATCCTTAGCGACTTCCGCTGGCCAGCCTCGTTCGAAAGAGCGTTGGCATGGCGCTCCAAGGCCCTTGCATCCTCACCGCGCATCCTTACTATACGGGTTGACTGTAACTGTTCGCAATCTGGCATGGCCCCCCCACAGGGATGTCGCTGATAGCAGGGCTCGTTTCGGTTCCTCCGATCCGATTCGATTCGACCTCGATGGTTTCGGATTCCGATTCGATTCGACTTCAGATTCCGATTTGGACTCCGATTCCTGAATGGAGGCCCACCAACCTGCCGATTTCTCTTCCGATTCGACTTCTCCCGATTTGGCTGCCGATTTCCGCCGATCCGATTAATGTTGATATCCGATCCGACTTGTCGATTCGATTCTGGGCTCTCCTGTGACAGTGCTTGCCTGAGTTCTTCTCGTGTTGCGTTCAGTGCGTCCGTGGATCTTCCCCGGTATGTGCACGGAGCATGTTGTTCTGGCAGCTCAGCAGTGGAGGCTTTGAGATGATTGTGCTCGTGAGTGTCTCTTTGCCGCGAGGGCAGAAACAAGGACAGGCAGCCTCGTCGTCGTTTTCTTATCCCTCGTTTTATCGATCGGCGCGGGCCATCGCCCCTTTCCCCCTCCCCCCCCCATGGAGTGGATCTTGGCTGTATTCTTGGCGCCTGTTCCGACCAGGCGGAGTCTCACCCATGGGCCATGGGCTGCACTGCTGCCCACAGTCTCACCAAGCAGAGGTCGGGAGCCAGACTCCCCCCCCTTCCCCCCCCTTCCGCCCAATGTCGAAACGCCGAACAAGAAGACGTTCGCCTGCCACAATTGGTGTCCGATGCTCGGTCGGTTTTGTCGGCGTCTCAGTCGGTTGCGTTCGTGTTCGGTTTTGTCGGTTGCCGGATTCTTGCCGCGTCACCGCGCCCTTTTGGACGGCCTGCGGTCTGTCGGTTCGGGCTCGAGTCGGGCATGTTCCCATGTTCCTCTACAGGAGGCACTTTCACGAATAGTAGGAATAACTAGTCAGGGGACGATGTTTCGTGCGGTTTGGATTTTGCCTGGATGTGCTTTGACCATTCTCTATGGTTCTTCCAGAATCTGCCCTGCAGGAGGACACGCCCGACCCGAGTTTTGGCAGATCCTGGTCTCGCTAGCGGTTCGGTCGGTCTTCAGGGGTGCCGTCGCCGTGGCCGGCCTCGCGTCGGGCAGGTCTGGCCACGAGAAGGGTCAGAAACCAGGCGAAGGCTGGCACATCCGTGGCTGCTAAAACGGAGCTCGGTTTTTGTTTCATTTTCTTCGGGAAGCAGCCCGTTTATTATTTAGCGCGCTAAGATGTATTCCAGGATGTTTGTTTTTGCTTCTGGGAAGACCGTTTTAGCAGCCACGGATTTGCCACCCCTCGCCCAGCTTCCGAAAGGGGTTGCTCCGTGCGATCGCCTGTGCCTCCTCCTGCGCCCTCGGTTCTTGTCGCCATCCGCTCCTGCCTCCTCGTGCCTCCTCGCGCCTCCTCGTGCCCGTCATGGTCCTCGGTGCTCCTCCCGACTCCCTCCAGTCACTTCCCTCGGCCCTCTCGTGTCCCTTTTCCCTGCTCCAGCTCCTCCCGCGTCCCTCCCTCCCTCCCCTCCCCTTCCAATCTCCTGCCTCTCCCCTTCCTCCTTCCCTCTTCTCTCCCTCCCTCCTCCCTCCTCGCCACTCCTCTCCCACCTCCCCCTCCCCCGCCTTCGTCCATTCTTCCATCCCTCCCCACTCCTCGTTCGTCCCTCCCTCCTCCCTCGTTCATCCTCCCCCTCCTTCACCCTCTCCTCGTTCCGTCTCCTCCCTGCTCCCTCCTTCCTCCGCCCTCTTTTCTCCTTCGTGCTCTTTTCTCCCTCCTCCCTCCTTCGTCTGCCCTCCTCTCCCCTCTCCTCCGGAGAGTGGGGGAGCACTTGACTTGACAGCGTGGGGAATTTGCTTCGGCCAAGGTAGTCGCAGAGTCAGATTCCTTTGTTGTCGAACGTCCTCCCCGTCCCTCCTCAAAACCTCTCCTGGAGCGCCATCCGACCAGGATCTATAGGCAGATCCATACCTGGCAAGGATGGTGGTGATGATGATGACGATTATGGTGATGTTGATGACGATGCAGATGATGCTGCTGCTGCTGATGATGATGATGATGATGATGATGATGACGATGATGATGAACCTGATTATGCCGACGATGAAGATGCTAACGAGGATGATGGTGCCAATGATGATGACGATGCTGCTGAATGTGATGTTTATGCTGATGCTGATGCTGCTGCTGATGATGCTGCTGATGATGAGGATGATGCTGATGCTGATGATGAGGAGGAGGAGGATGTTGATGCTGTTGCTGCTGATGATGGTGAGGATGCTGCTGCTGATGCTGCTGATGGTGATGTTGATGTTGATGCTGATGATGCTGATGCTGAGGAGGACAATGATGAAGATGTTGCTGCTGCTGCTGTTTATGAACATGATGATACTGATGATGATGTTGATGCTGATGATGCTGATGATGATTATGTTGAATCTGACGATGTGGACGACGATGACACCGACCATGGCGATTACAATGATGATAATGATGATGATGATGATGATACTGATGATGATGATGATGATAATGATAATGATGATGCTGATAATTATGATGATGATGCGGATGCGGATGCTGATGATGATGATGATGATGATGATGATGATGATGATGATGATGATGATGATGATGATAATGATGATGATGATGATGATGATGATGATGATGATGATGATGATGATGATGATGATGATGATGATGATGATAATGATGACGATTCTAAGGAGGAGGAGGAGGAGGAGGAGGAGAAGCAGGCGCAGGAGGAGCGAGGCGCTGCCGTGGAGCCGTGGAGAAGCGCCAAGGACCAACCGGACGGGGCCCTCCTGAGGAGGAGCAGCAGAAGCACGCAAGCCCTTCAGGCAGTCTGATGTCCACTCTGGAAAGAAACTTGCCTCGGGCTGTGGCCGTTAAATCCTTGTTTAACACCTGTCGTCATTCCGCCTTGTATGCAACCATGCTGCTACACAGAGTGCAC